CTTTACGAACGTACCCATTATTAAAGACTTCGATACAAAAATGAAAATTTGTGAATTGGCAAAGAAGTTTGATCTACCGGAATTGTCGGTCAGAACAATTATAAAAGGCAAAGAAAAAATTCTCGAAGCTGTGAAAAATGCTCAATCTTTAAATTCAAGCATCATTCGTAAACGTCATAGTATTATCGCTGAGATGGAATTATGGCGTAATAATCAAGTAAATGTGAAAAGTTGTAAAATAATATAGGCCTAATTTGTTATACATATGTATTATCTAAGATTTTATTAGACATTTTTTTAAATTATTGTTTTCTTTAGTCTCCGGCCCCAATTAAGAATTATTTGTATGTATTTATATATGAAATTATACCCCGACTTACGCGGTTACCGCTTGGTCCCACCTATCGCGTAAGTTCGGGGTATTACTGTATATAGATGATAATAGTTTCAGTTGCAATAATTTAAATGAATTCGCTCATAGAGTGGAAAGTAATCAGTTGCAAATATTAAAGTGTGATTCGCTCACAGAAATGGCAAATAATCAGTTGCAATTCCTACGTATTCCTTTTATTTTCTCGGCTGTTACAACGGAAGGAAAGTACGGCGATCAGTCAAAAAAATTACCCCCAAGATTTTGACATTTTTGGGCTCAGGACAATAGGACACTTTAAAACGTCAGAAAATGCAAAAAAAAAAAAAAGTTGAGGGATAATTTATGTATGTAACTATGTATGTATGTAACTATGTATGTATGTATGTATGTATGTATGTATGTACGTGCGCGCGCACGAGGCACAATTTTGTTCCCCGTTTGAAGCTTGAACCTAATAACCCTGCGTTTTTTGTCGAAAGGGAGGTTTGTTTATTAGGAAATTGATGCTATTAAATTTTGGTGGTTAAAGGTTGAGGGGGTGGAAGATAATGGGGCCGTGACTTAATGATGATTAAATAATGATTTTACTCTTTATTAGAATTTATAATTTTTTACAAAATACATCCTTACCCACAAAATTAAGCTTTTCGCCATTTTATAACAGTTAAAAATTAAAATTGTTTGTTCAGTTATGGCAACGTAACACTCGGACGATCTGCCTAGGGGGATACCTTACGGGAGATCTTTTTAAGGGAAACTGGCCCGTTTAGGCGTTACAGACATGGAGAAAACCCGGAAAACCCCACGTGGCCAGCCTCTCCGAGCGAGGCGCGAACCCACAACCGAACGCCCAGTGGTCAGGGTACGAAAACCGCTTGGCCACTGGTGGGCTTAAAAATTAAAAACTTTTAAAAATATACTAACAGTGCGCCACAAAATGCTGCCGGGAAAGTTAAGCAACTCGTTGCTGGATTTTTTAAATTATTTATGACTGACTGACTTTTTCACTCTTGTTTTTCCTTTAATGTTGGATAATGAATATTTCGTAATTTCCTCTTTTTTTAACTGGTACTGACGATCTTCAACGAGCATTGTTGATTCATTTTTTAAATAATCTATTTATTTGTGTTTTTAATAAGAAATATTTTTTACCTTTATATTTTATTACTGCTTATGATAAGTCTATTTCCCATACGTTTTGACGTTAAATAGCTTGTACAATTGATATAGGTAGCCGCAGTGTTGTTGAAGTGAATCGGTTTTAACTTTTTTAAAAAAGGTTTTTTAAATAAAACATTTAACAAAAGTAGAATTACACCTTTAAATTACAATATCATATTCACAGCCTACATGTGTTTACATTTATTTATTTTTGTAATTGTATTATAGTTATATAAAATATATTGTATTTTTTATTGCAATTTGGTAATGACAATAGCTCTGACGGAATTCATTAGAAAGTTCGAAAAATAAAATAGTATTTCTAATTACAAACATATATTAATAACTATAGGTATATTGATACATGTTAACTGGGCTTACTAAAAATGTTTTTTTGTTGTTATACTAACTACAGGGGTATTTAAAAATGTTGGCAAAGGCTCTTTCTCAACTTTTTCTGCACTCAAACATGTTAAGGAAACCACTAGGAAGTCTGATAATTTTCAATTATGCTAGGATATAAAATTTAAACAAGAACTTAAAAAAGTAATTTGTTGAATTATAATAAAAATCTCCATTTAAGTGAAGTTTGGATTAATAAGAGTGCTTTACTTTCTTATTGGTAATATAGATGAAATTTGTCACAATATACAGTTATTATATTCAATTTGCTTAATATAACAATAGTTTAAAATAAATTTCGTTTATAAGTCAAAATAAGAATATGTCAGTATCTCATATCTTTTGATCCTTGAGCATCAGTTTCACAAGCCATTAAAATTTAATTTTCTACATTAAGAGAAAAAAAATTTATTGTTTCTTCTAGTTATAATTTTAGAAATCTGCATTGTTTTTTAAAATCACTATGAAATAAAGAAATGAACTTTGTTTTCATTTAATAGGAAATGAAACATTGTAATTTTATTGTCAACATTCATTATATGTTTAGCCAGTATTCGTAACCAGTAAAATTTTTATCCATCTATTGAACTCTTATCATAATCATTGCTCAAATACTATGAATAAAATAATTTTGTAACTTTTTTTTTGAAAATAATGTAGCAAACGGTTGCTATTTAAATTGTTGGTTAAAAGAAATGCATCAATAATCATTCATATACAAAACTATCATTTTTGAAACTTATAACATGTACGATAAATCTAATGCATACTACATACTAAAAAGGCATGTTCTTATTTGTTGATACAAATATACTAAGCTGTAATCCATCAAAAAGATAAGAAATGAAACCAATCAATATTCAGTTGGGCAATATCACTAAAAGTATTCTTTTTTAACATATGTGAATTGAATTAAAAGTTATAAATTAAATGGCCAAATCACTTAGTATTTTAACAGTTCTAAGAAAACTCAAATTCATATGCTGTTTCTTAGAAATGCACTTTCTATCAATAAAAAGCAGCTCAGAACTACATATGACTTAATTATTATGCGTTTTTGTCCTTTTTTAATACTATTTATAATTTATTTTGTATACTAGTACATTCTATATATTAACAGGACTTATTATACTGGAATTATGGATGCAGATATTTAGTCTTACAGTTTAAAAATAATGTTCTTTATTAAGTTCACCTGATCAGGTGAACTTAATAAAGAACATTATTTTTAAACTGTAAGACTAAATATCTGCATCCATAATTCCAGTATAATAAGTCCTGTTAATATATAGAATGTACTAGTATACAAAATAAATTATAAATACATATGACTTAGGTTATTACATTAGATGGTAATAAATACAAACATATATATTTATAGCTGATCAGAATAAATATGCATCAATAAATGATACCTCAAAGTATATTTAGAACTTAAATATTACTTTAACTTTTTTGGAAAATTATTCATACAAAAGTGATTTTTGCAATTTGATCTTACATTAATAACTTAAACTATAGTCTTATCTTATATAAATATTTAGATAATTTCTTTACTTTCATTTTTAAAATATAAATTGTCATTTATTTATCCTATAAATATTTAATTATTAAAAAAAACCTATCTAATCTTATCAGTTAATCAGTTATCAAAATATAATTTTTGTAAACTATAGAAATTCTTTACTGTTTATTATTATTAATGTATAAAATTCTTGAAAAACAGTTATGAGATAATCAAAACCAAGATATTTAGAGTTTATCAACAATTTTGAAGTTCATAAAGCAGTATTCAATAAATAAAATAAGAAGAAGTAAGAATAAAACAAATTCGTAATCATGATCAAACAAATTTATTTTTAAAACTACATAACTCTCTAAGATCTAAACAATTACATAAAGCAGGTTGTAACAATTATTTATGAACAACAGAATAAAATATCCATGTCTTTTTTACAATATCTATGCAGAAAAATTTTTTAAAATACAGAGTGAATGAAATGCTATTCATAAATTTATTCTTTGCACAGAAATGCAATATTGAAGAAATTTTAAATCATTTTTTGAAAATTTAATTTACAAATTCCTGTTTCTTTTCACAACAAAAATTTACTTTTTTGTATGTTAAGACATTTCAAAAATCTATATTCATTACAATATCTAATCAAATATTTTTATTTTTATATAAATTATCATTTATTTATTTTTAAATGATACTATAATTTTACAATATTTAAATCTTAGTACAAGTACTAACTTTAAATCTCACTAATTACTGTAAAAATCAATAATATAGGTGTTATTCATCAATAATTAAAATTTTAAATATTTTTAACAATATCATCAAATTTAACACCAATAAAATCAAGTTTGCTTTTACTGCAATAAAATCTGAAGTTGTTCCTGAGTTGATGTAGTTAAATCTGTTTTAACTAATGTAAGCATTAACTGCAGTTAATTTAACTCAAAAACTAAATCTGTAATGTTCAGCATATAATAAGCAGATGTTTTGTTAAATGTAATTAGCCCTAAATGTTTGTTCATGTGCAAATTTACAAGCTGAACATTAAAGGTTTAGTTTCTTAAGTTTATTGGTTTCAAAATAATTTCAAAAATTTTTTAAATAATTATTTCTATACAATTTGCATCGATGTTATTTTCACATAAATTATAAATGAACAAAAGAAAACTATTCACACAGTAAATGTTTTGCCTAATGAAATATTGTTAAAAAAAGATGTTCATATATACTTTTAATCTCATATTTATGTTGTAAACAAGTTTTAAAGACATTATTTATATAACTTTAATGGCATAATTGTCTTCACTTAAAATTATGTGGATTTATCTTTAAAACAGTTTATAGAGAGTTTTATTATATTTTCTTCTTTCTGAAATCCAAGTCATTTGCAAATTAAAAACAATATTGTATTATAAGTCATTAAAGTTATAGTAATTTTCAGTTAATTGTGTTTTAACATATAGAACATGACAAACAAACAGTACTTTTCAGTCTAATGATGATCACATCTCAAATAAAGTCCATACTAATATCAAGCAGAATTATTTCAATTTCATAAGAAAAATGGACTGCCGAAAATTGTTTTTATCTCATCTTCAAATGTTATTAATCCAAAAAATATTAACATATTTTTCTTTCCAAAGACTGAAGAGAAATATTTTCAAACTCATCTTTTAATCTATAACATTCATTTTCAGTTAATTCCACAATAATTATAGAGTAAAATACACATTTTAAGTAGTTGATGTAATTTATGATAGGAATTTCATTAAAAAATTATGATTAATTAAATATTAAACATTAAGCAATGAAATGCTATTCTATGAAGGAAACATCTTTCATAAATTAATCATGTAAATGAAATTACTATAAGGAATTACTAGCATTATATTATCTTGCATAAAAATAATGGATGTCGTCAGTTGTTGCTTATTTCTTTTCTAACTTTACCCGTCTTTAATACATCACCGATACCAGGAATATCGTTTTAGCAAAACTTGTCATTAAGCAAAATTTAACTTCCAAAAAGATGACAATTAACACATTACATACAAACACATTTTCAACATTTAGGATCTAAATCACTATTTTTCATAACATTAAGTCATAATAATAATAATAATAATAATAATAATAATAATACCAACCATGAATATGTATGAAAAGTTTCAACAATGTGAACTAGATGAGTAAACATTTAGAAATTATGATGTAAAATTGGTTATTACGTATATTCATTAAACAAAATATCAATTTAACTGGGGTTTCATTCATGTTCTTAAATATGAATGTCAATAACTTGAAGCATTTAGATACAATGTCTAATTATATGCTTTTACAATAATTTCATTCCATTATTTTACAATTAAATTTTAAATTCATATTTTGATGGCATTTGTGACAAAGTTACTAACATGTAATTTTCATAGAATTGAAAAATGTACATTTTAAAATCCCAGCAATTCTATTATTGTCAAATATATTATCTACATCTGCTTATACAGTAGATGCATTATTGTTAATCTGTCAAGAGAGTATATTCGGTATGTCAAGAGTATAGTATGCACTGCAATTAATTTTTCTTTAGAATATAAGTTATTCCTATATTAATCAAAGATACAACTATAACAAACAGACAAATTATATTTGTACTAAAAATTTTCAACTGCTATAATATCATTTCTGGCAAAAGAGTAAGTATAAGGTTTTCCATCAATCAAAATAACATCATCTCTAAGATATACCTTCTTTCCTTGCTGTCTAATATCATTTATTAGCGGGATCAATTTTTTCCTTCTTTTTCGTGAATTATAGCACAGATCTGAAATCAGCAATATCCTATTTGTCTTGATAAATTCAGAAACTTTTTTCTTTTTCCAAAATGCCCCTAATAATTCCTTCTTCCTTTGAGTGGAACGTAAAATCAGTTTCAGATTATTAAAATTATTGCTCTCGAGAGGCACTATATCATTAATTTCTTCCATGACAAAATCTTTTATTTCTAACTCTTCGTTAAATAGTTTCCTAACAAAGCTCTCTCTCTCATCAGGTTGTATAAAAATGTCCGTAAAAATAATTAAATTTCTCTTTTGTATTTTGTTATTCATCATATCGATTTTAAACGAAATCTGTTCTCTCTTAATCTGTTCTTCGTTAAATTTCTCGTCAAATTCTCTAATTTGCCCTTCGAGCTTGCTTTCAATAGAGGTGATTTTGGCATTCAGTAATTTAAATTGTTGCTGGATAGCATCTAACTGCTCTTTAATTTCTAAGAAATTTGTTTGAAGTAATTCCTTTATTTCTGTTAAAATAGTCACTTGTTCTGATTCTTCTATTATTGAAGAGTTGACAGCTGTAGATATCGATTCGACTGGAAAATCATCATTTCCTTCAACTGTTTCTTCTTGATCCGAAGGGATGAACTGTTCAGTTGGTTCGGCATCATCAATGATTGTCAGTAACTCACTTCCTTTCCCAATGCTTTCCTGTTCTTTCAATATCAGTCCCTTAGTTTGCATTGTATTCCCTTCAGCAGGTGGTCGATTATCAACACCTGAGTTTTATTTCATATTACTTATTATTAAAGAATTCTCATAGAAAATATTTGTAAAAAATATCTAACATACATACCTATTTTCTCGTTCCGTATTAGTTTTTTAAATGTATTTAAAGAGCAAAACAGCTGAAACTGTATGACAGTTCTCTTTCTCTGTTCAGTTTCCAAATCAAAAACCAAAAGTATTACGAAGCGCCCTCAACGGAATTTTTCTTTATTATTATTATTATTATACTTTTTTTCGCAAAAAGGCAATATCACCTATCTAGAAACTAGTTTAATTTTTTAAATAGTAATGAAATAAATTTGGTTATTAATTTTCTTATATGCAATTGAATAGTGTGTTCTATTCTTAGAATGTGAATGAAAAAAACTTATAATTAAAATCACAAAGGTTCCATAATCGAAGTACGAATTGAAGTACAAACGGCGCTACTCTCGGCATTTTGGTCCGTCAAAACCGGATCCGAATGATCTAGTGTGAATCCAGCTTAATGCTTTCTTGTTTAAAATTAATATTTCCAGTTTATAAATAGAAACCGCAGATTGTAATCACTTTGGGATTCGTCTGTATTGATAACAATAACCGATGATATGAAACGGAATAAGTAAATAAGACTTCAGTTCCTAAAAGTTTGGATTTTATTGACTCTGATACTAAAAGAATGTATTAAAAATATGTTACTTGAAAATTTATTAATTACAATTATTAATATTACTCAATAGTAATTAATCCAGTGTTATTTGCATGTTGCTTTTTTGCAGTGTTCTTTAGCAAGAGCAAGCGTATGATTGCAGTAAGAAATGCCACCAATTTAAACAAATTCATTGAAATATTTTAAAAATTTATTATTAATGCTAACTTACGTAATGTTTAATTTCGCTTAAATGCTTTTATAAATACTGTATTGTTTTTAAACTAAAATAATAAATTATAAAAATATATCCTATATTTTTATTTTTTATACGGACAAGTAAATTAAATAAAAAATAAAAAGTATATAAAATAAGGAGTATTGTATATTGTATACCATAAATATTATAATTATATACAGTGTCATCGTATATAGCGCTTATGAATAATGGTGCATGCATCTTCTCCGTGAATATTTAAAGATCTTTCAGTACCTATGAATCTCCTGTATTAAATGTAGTGTACGATTTTGCATTAAAAATGACAGTTATTATGTACACAAATTCTTAAGGGCTGCAAAAAATAGGACTTGCACTCAAGCGTTTTATAAAGTTTTTATATTGTTTTAATTTTTAAACAATTATAATGTACGCATCATATATTACATACTTTTTGGTGCGCGCTGCGTATGTTTTATTTCGTAGATATTTTCTGTAAGTGCCCTATATAATGCTGACCGGTTGCAAATTAAAATTGTTTTTCGCATACCTATCGCGATATCTATCAGTGGCAGAGTAGATAAAATTACTGAACACGGAATCATAACACATAAAATTACGAAATTACGAATATATTATATAAATTACACTAGCAGAAAAGCAAAACTAATGGATTTGTAATTTTATTTGAATAATTTTAATCAAATGAATAAGATATTATTTATATTATTTTGGAACAACGAACTGGAATCAATTTTTTTTAAATTGAAATATTTTTAATTGTTTTTGCCTGGTGAGTACTAACAAGACTTTTTTAAATATACATTATGAATTCCTCAGGTCCAAAATAATATGGACGGCCGGATGATGACAGACGGATCAAATAGATCCGGAAGTATTTGAAACTCTCGAATCTAGCTTCTAATGACTTTTTCTCTACCCAGAATTAAAAAAGAACTAAAATGAAAACGGTTTGAGCCAATAGAACTCAGAAGACGAATCGAAGAAAATCTTACGATTTCTGAAAAAAGTGATTTTCTAAATGTTTCCTGAATTGACACTAACAAGTTTATAATATTCAGATTAAATTTTAATGTCAAGGGAAAAAATATTAAGTTAAATAAACTCTTACGTCAACAAAAATAGAAAATCTAGAAAATTATATTCCAAGAAAATGGACAATAATCCGCTATTTTTTGACGTTAGGTGGCGCTCGCATAGTGTTGATTTCTGTGTGTGAGGTGCCTGTCGCCATTTTTGTAGCGTGTTAAAGGTAATTTTTAATCCATGATGTATTTAGACATCTTAATATTTTTATATTAATAAGTTTTATTAAGTGATTTTTCGATCATTATGAAACGTTGTCAAACTATTAGTTTTCTATTACTATTGAGAATTTCCTTTTGAATTCCAGACCTTACCATATAGTCACATTACTTGAAAGAAAACTTGAAAATAAAGGTTTTCTATGGAATGTGCTTATAAGAAAATTAAACTTATGTGTAAAATACTAATAATGTAGATGAATATAATTAGCCCCTTAAAATTCTAAACGAATTATAAAGTTAGGTCTAACATAATAAGTGAGCGTGTTACATACCTTGAATTTAAACGTATTTAATTAGTTTGATTCGTTATCTTCAGTTCTAGTATCTTACTAAAATTGAAATTTTGGTTTTTAAAAGTTTATAATCAGTTCATTAATTATAGATCGTATGGGTTATAATTTTTTACATTCATTTTCTCAACTTCAAAATATTTTCTATTTGATTTGGATTCATTATAACCTCTGCTCTTACACTAATATAAGGAAAGTTAAATTTTCTCTTTCACAATGCCCCAAAACAGATTCTCGTGTATTAAGTCTGGACTTAATTAATACATCCTAAATCCTTTGATGAGTGGTTTGCTGCTGACTCTCTCTCCTCCCAGATTGAGTGAGATTTTGGTAAGTCTATTATTAAAACTCATAGGACTACTTACTGTCTGTGTCCCATTTGACATGCCAATGCTTAAGCTTGTCATCGTGGGGCAGCATGTTGGATGCTGGACATGTAGAAACTGTAGCATTTTGTGCAGTTTAAGGGTATGGCAATTTGAAAGGTTTTATTTCCATAAAATTAATCAATTCTAGACTAATTTGACTCACACATTTCCAATTTTGGGAATGATCCATATAAAATATGCTACGAACAGAAAACTATGGGAATACTTTCCGCCATTGATTAAGCACATGATCGTTGCGGAATGGCACATTGGACGGTGGACGCGTATGAAGCATGTCATGTGACATCTCTTGGTGCTATCCTATCGTGTGACTACTCGTCTCACCTCACCTCTGACATGTTTCCTGATAACTTATTCCTCTCGCAGAAGAATTTGCTGAACTTTGGAGATATCTTTAATAGAAATATTAAAACATAATTTTAAATATGGATTAAAATCAAGATATAACAATGTATGATAATTTGATAAATAACTAATAATTACTCTGCTTGTAAATGCCGTAATCTCTTTCATGTCTTAAGCAAAATTGAGTTTTATTTATTTATATCAAGACAATAGACATTTCATGTTGCATCTGAATAATATTTATCATTATAATATACATCATGATAGAAGTATTGTTATTAGTGAATGGTTTTACCTTTGTTGTTTCATACAGTCATTTATTATTTATTATTATTAAGTTAAATATGCTATGAACAAAAAACTATGGGAATATTTTCCGAGTGTGCATTGTTCAAAGACACTATTGATTAAACACATGTTCGTTGCGGAGTGGCACATCGGACGGTGGACGCATATGAAGCATGTCATGTGACATGATGTGAGGTGTGGCCGAGACGAGTGAATGGTCATGTGATCGGATAGCACTGAGAAATGTCACATGATATGCTTTGTGTGCATCCGCCATTCGACGTGCTGCTCCACATTGAAAATGAGCTTAATCAATGGCATCTTTAGACAATGCACACTCGGGAAGTATTCCTACAGTTTTTTGTTTATAGCATATTTTATATGGATCATTCCCAAAAAATTATACATGTTTTGGAAATGTTTGAGTCAAATTAGTCTAGAATTAATTAATTTTATGGTAGAAAACCTTTCAAACTGTCATACTCCCTAAACTGTACAAGTGCTGAAATTGCATCACATGACCTCGTTTATAAAATGTCACTCCACAGATTACTTATTGATAGTCTAAAAAACAGTAAACATTGACCAACTAGTGCATGCTATTTTCAGTCAGGATGATATTTGCCCGATCCATATTGACATCTCTGACCTGTTTCCAGCATCACATGCTAGAGCAGTGAGTGAAGTCTTATTCCTAACATGTGATTTCCTCTTTTGTGACTTCAAACAGCCTGCAGAACAGTTTGATAAACATCGCTTTAGTTGTTCTTCTGTAGCACTGTAACATTGTATAACAAAATCTACTGAGTTAAGGTTTGCTGACAATGGTTTATTTTTTGAGATTAACATAGCTGTCTCTGTGAATTCCGTTGAATCTTGTTTGCACTTTGAAAAGTCATTTCAGGGTTGTTTTCAACTTTGGAAATGGGAAAAAGTCTGCAGGGCCAAATCTTGAGGATGTGGAGGTGGGGAAGAACAGCCATGTTGTTAGTGGTCAAAAATTAGCTGACAAGCATAGATGTGTAACATAGTGAGTGCATTGTCGTGATGCAACATCCAGCTCTTGTTTTCCCACAGCTAAGGTCTCTTCTTGTGCACATCTTCCCTCAAATGCCTTAAAACTTCTACATAGAACTTCTTTGTTAGTCTAACTGTTGTCTAACAGTTTGACCTTGTGGCACAAATTCATGATAGTCCAAAAAACAATCAACATTGACCAACTCGTGCATGCTTTTTTTCAGTCAGGGTGATATTTGCCCAATCCATTGTGATGATGCACCTTGGTTTCTACATCTTAGCCATAAACACAAGTTTTGTCTCCTATTATATTTTTCATGAAATTTTTGTCTGTATTGGCACAATGAAGCAGATCTTTGTTGATTGTGACATGGTTCTCTTTCTGGTTGTTGTTCAACAGATATGGCATGAATTTTGCAGAGACGTGATGCATGCCAAGTTTTTCGGTCAGAATTTTGTGGCATGACTCAATGCTGATGCTGACTTCCTTGGCAACCTCTTGCACAGTCAGATGACAATTTGCACAAATTATGGGACAAACAACATTGATGTTTTCATTGTTGATGTTAAAGGTTATTTTAATCAGGGATGCACAACCTTTTCTGAAGAAGGGCCAAATTAGGATTAAGTTTACTGACTGGGGGCCGGACCTCCAAGTGATTAATGCGATGGCTGAGATTGGATGCTAGCGGCAATCTTCTTGATGTCTAGCGTAATGGCAGATGTTGAAACAACCAGCAGATTTTCCAAATTTTCGTTGGTTAACCTGTTCCGTGTTTTGCACTTGTTTAAATTCATAAGCGAAAACACTTGTTTGCATACATACCATGTTTCCTCGAAAATAAGACCTAGCAGAGGTTTTGCTGAATTGCTAAATATAAGGCCTCCCCCGAAAGTAAGACCTAGTAAAGTTTTTTTTTTACTCCTAACGGTCATCGACAGCAGGTTGAAAGTGGCCGTTGGCTTTTTGAAAGTACAGCCACTGATTGGTCAGTAGACAACATGCCACACGGCATGATTTGCATAAGACTATGGCTTGGAATCACAGATTTGCATAATGTTATGGCTGGTGATCACTAATTGGTCGGCCGGGAATCAC